GTTGGCATACTTCTATTAATTAATTTTATAATCATTTGGAATTTTGGTTGTAGGTATAGGTATCTTATAATTTCATCCAGGTCATTTCGATTTTAAATGAGCTTTTACAACAATGTTTCTGCATTTTGTTAACAAAATACAGGAAAGCATTGATTCTATAAATGTTGGAGATGTTTCAACAAAAAATATTACTGTGTCTATTTTGAAATTCTCATACCAGGAGGAGAAAATGGACAACCGAATAATTTTATGGATATTATACTCCAGTGTGTTCTATTATATTATGCCGTTCATAAAATATACAACACATAAGGAGATGTGTTATCAAGGTAAATCAAAAATATTTTTGTGAAAATATGCTTAACTGCGTTGTCAGTAAATTATTCGAAGTATTTTCGTTGTCAGTTTTTGAAGATGAAGTGCGATATCAGAAAATGTTAGAAACATAGAAAATAGCCGGCCCTAATCGTATTTTGATCTGGTTGTAAAAGAACATATGATATTTCATGAAATTCTACATTGCAATCATTAGTATTGTACCCGATAGCTTTCCAACCTGTGTCATGTTTTCAATTCTTTGGACGCTACTTGAGCCCTGAGTTCTGTATTTTTGAATAACTGCACCATTTTATCGAATTGGCTAGCGTGCCATTTCATCCACAGTAACTTGAAACAATGCATTCCTTGATTACTAGTCCGCTCATTGTTCAAAAGGTGAATTATCCCATTTTAACGGAACAAAATGCATGATGAATTGGTGTTTTGTCTTTTTGTCTGATCGACTTCTTTTTCCATTAACTATTCATCTAAACTTTGAATTCAATTTCAATTTGTCTCATCAATAGTGCAGGGCTGAACCACGCAGCTGCCTGTCTAGTATAGAGTGGCGAGCTCTCGAGCTTTGGTTTCATCTACTTCTTTTCAGTTTGGAAATGGAGATCTTATTCTCATGTCAAGAAATGGGCTAAATCACAATTTTCAATTCGAAACTCATTTCAATGTTTTGTAAACATTATTCTTGGATAACTGAACTCCAGATTATTCGTTTAGATAACTGGAAAGTAGCAATTTCTATCATTCACATACAATTATTGTTGAATGTTTTCAATTTCTCAGAAATATTTTTGAGAAATAATCGTAAAAAATCAATAAGTACTAATAGTGAGTTATACACCATTATTTTCAAATTATTGCTTGCCTGAATATTACTGGAACTTTATCCGAACAGAAAACCGTTATTTTCAACACCTCGACACGTGTATCTATCACCAAGTGATCATTTTCAAGAGAAAGATTAATCTAAATTTACTTATACCATAGATACCTCTACTAGGTACCTGCGTCTTAATTGTCATAAATTAATTTTACAATGTTATCTTATCTAATAGTTAAGCGGAAATTTACGCTATTAAGATTGGAAGAGAGAGATTGGAAGAATCCAAATAAATTGGTAGCAAATTTCCAAAAACGACTCTCCTCGATAGGAAGACTTAACAGATTGTCTCTGGTCTGGATTCCTGGCCATACTGGCCTGGAAGGCAATGAGGCTGCTGACTCCCTTCAAAGGAGGGTGTTGCAAGCAGCTTCATAGAACCAGAACCTGTCATTGGCATCGATTTAGGCTTTGCCAAACAAACATTGAACACCGGGATGGCAAGAAGATTTATGGACTTCTGGCAGAATATTCCAGTATTGGCTCACGCCGAGGTGTTTATTCACCCTTCGAAGCTTGATATCAAACAGTTGTTGGACTACAGCAGGGATGAACTACGATGTCTAACAGGCTTTCTTACAGGTTACTGTCATTTGAATCATCATATGCAGAGACTCGACCTGTCTAAAGACCGTGTGTGTCGCCTCTGTTTGGAAAATCATGAATCAGTAGAGCACATACTTTGTGCCTGCCCCGCTGGAGATCGAATCAGGTTTTTAGAATTCGACAGAGCCATACTCTTATCATCTGATCTGGAAGACCTCTCATCATATAAACTAATCGGCAACCCTTGCGGGTTGCGGTGGAGAGTCGAATAGACCCACTCACTATAGCTTTCTCAATTATATGAAGATTCATACACTCGAGAAAGCTTTGTGGAGATCAAATCGTGAGGTGTAGTTTTTAAAATTACTATGGATCTTCATCAAGTAACGGCCGAATCAATCAGAAAATTAATGAACTCAAGTCAGGTGTGCTAAGTGTTTCTTATATCTTATTTCAATAGATCTTTTAGTCGGTCTATAATATTTTGCATCGCAGTTTTAACATTTAATTTCGTAAATTCCAGACTTTTCTGAACTGTCGACTTTGTTTTTGGGATGTTCTAAAAGGCTTTGTAGTGTTCTTCATATATTGGTGGTATGGAACTGAGATATACTTGTTTTGGTTTTTGTCGTTTCTAAAAGTCGATTTCTGTGTAATTCTTTGTTCATATATTTGAAAATAGTTTATTTTGAATGTATTTTTCCTTCTGGTTTGTATCTAAAAGACACTTATGAGCGTGATACATACATGTTTATAGAGATGTTTCATTGATATATTCAGTTTTTTCTGTCCCCCTCTTGGAAATTTCCTCACTTACTATGTATGTATATAACAATGGAGAAGTAGGAAGCTGGAAATATGTTTTCAAAAACTTACATCTCCTTTCATTAAAAAAAAACATTCACTAAAGTACTACAACATTCCACTTACCACGAATAAAACTGATAGTAGAAAATTTACAACTTTTCGTAAATGTTCTTCTTTGGAATCAATCGAGTAGATGATATAATAAAGCAAATAAAGGACTGTGATACAAATGTTCTGAAATACTATGTCACCAAATATAATATTAACTTGACGAACAGCAGCGTCAATCAATTTGTAACGAACAGCAATTTTACTTAGTTCATTGACATCCACTTTTTGAAACTTCAATAAGTTTTCTAGAAGTTTATCCATATCGTTGAATTTATTTTTCATCCAATTCGTCAAAATCACATAATAAGTATCGAACAGAATGATATAAATCGTAATAATCAGAACATTAGAAATAGTTAGGGCTTCACTCAGCTCTTCATTTACCATTAAATAAGACTCCATGATGAAGATGATAGCAGTGATGGAGTACATCAAACCAAGTTCAAAATAAATTTTAGAAGATACACAAGAAGTGCCAATGTTATAGTGGGATATCATTTTTTCAAGGTTGACAACTTTTCTGAACAGTTTTTTCCATGATTTGTCTTTTCGAAAAGAGAGCGTAAATATGCTGATGATCAGAAAGATTGAATCAGCTATTGACAGTATATATGATAATCCCGATATAACTTTATGTTTAGTGGGATTAACAACCATTTTGTGTTCAGTTACAAAATAAGTTCGAACTATGTGAATAAAAAGTAAAATACAACTTATAATTCTAGATAACCTGGATCCCACCCTTTGATTCTTGAGTTCTAAGGGTGAAGTTCCAAAATATTTTCCCACTTTAAAGATGAACACCAGCAATTTGAAATCATTTCTGAATGAATCACGAAAATGGAAACTTTTTGATGGAAATATTGTTTTTACTGATTTATGCCTATAGCTGTTCATCTTCCCATGGTAAATCATTACTGTTAGTGTGTAACAAAACTTTTGATATATTGACAAGAGCACTGATTAATATGTCCTGGAATATTACCATCTGAAACATTTAATCTATGAGCGAGGCATTCAAAGTATTTTTTGTCACGCCAGAGATAATAGTTGGGTAATATATTGACAAGTGAATGAGTTTCAAGATAAACAAACTTTTCAGTAATACGAGAAAAACATTCAATATATGGGAGAAATAATAATAGTAAAACTATCTATTGTGGATACCGAAAGTATATATGGCTACAGCCGTTTTTTCATTCCTCCATAAATAAAACATACAGTCACTTACTAATGATGTGAATAAAATGTTATAGATACATTGCAATGAATATATTTCTAGAAAAATTATAATAATTATTGAAACAGATTTCAAACTATTTCAAGTCTGTTGATTGATAATGTTGAATGTCTCTGCGAAAGATATTGAATGATGAATTGGGTTTATTTATGGTGATATTCAATCAAGCTACTGAGTTATATGAAAACTTCCCTTCAAACTTTCTAATTGAGTGCTGAGGAATTGTTAAATTGCCGATTTCAACATTATTATTACTAATAATCAATCGTCCTAATAACATAAAAAAGTAAATATGCTGGGATTATTGATATAATGAACTTGAAGCTTTATAACTTCTATTTAATTATCTGCGAGCACTTTCGACAACTGGTCGTGCTATCATCATCTAGGCTCTACTCAAACTCTAGATGATGATACCACGACCAGCTGTCGAAAGCGCTCGCAGATAATTATATAGAAGTTATAAGGCTTCAAATCCTTTTTGTGACTAACATTAAAATACTGAAAATGAAGGAAAATCAGTTGCATCATTCAAAATGTTTTTATTATAAATGAAATAAAAATTTTTATTTAGCTAGACTTTTATACTTATTACTGGTTTTATTGTTGTTTTTCCTTCAATGAAATAATGATTTTGATTCGGCTAGACTCTATGTGGAGTTGAAATCCCTATAACTCAACACCTCAGGTAGATTCAGGCACAAGTACAAATGTTACTTACCCAAAAATAATCTGAATATCATGTATACCTGTAAGTAAATTTGGGAAACACACATCAGAATATAGGAAAATGTAAAACAGTTTAATAAAATGTAAAAACTAACTTCTAAATATAAATTAACTAATTAGGACAGCAAATAACTCAAAAATGTTTTATGCTATACCGAATTAAGTAACGTGAATTACGGAACGCACTAACAGTTTCTGAAATGTCAGCCAATCTCCTTGGACACTGCAGGTTTATATTCAATGAAAATTCTGGATTCAATTTTTTCATTCAATTGTCCAGTTTCTGTTCTTGGACAAATTATTTATTTATATATTTGCATATATTTTATACTCGGTATTGAAAGAGGTAAATACCTTATTTCCCTTCAGTGTTTTGTTGTGCAGTTGAATTTTCATATTCACCGAATCCTTCTCTGCTGTGATGGAAATTCTCCACGTACTGAATTTATTGATGGGAATTGGCTTGTACAGATTAGTTTTGTTATAACTTCATTCAATTATTATTATTCCATATGATTGTATAATATGTACTAACTTTTCTATCAAATTGATTTTAATTCTAGGAGAAAATAATTTTGCGTGGCGTCCACTTTCGTCGCCTTGAGAAGAATGTTTTGTTGATAATAAATTTTTATAACTTCAAATTTCCAACTTTAATATCTCAAAAACTATTTTCTCTACTAGTTTGCTACTTACTTCAACATTTAGATACATATTTCCTTGAAATTCATGTAAATAAATGTTTAACCTCGCTTATGTCTAAATATATAAATTTTTCGTAAGCATCATTTCATGCCCGTAACTAGGGAAATGGTTTACAACAATAAATTTCAAACTTTTCATCATTTCTAACTATTTACAACAAGTTTATGATGTCTCTTCCAATTTACAACCTCTGCCGGTTGTCTCTTTTATGAAAATCAATAAATGTTGTTACACAAATATTGAATATATATACAAAGTTGAGAATCTTAGCGACTGGAGAAATGTACAGTAAAATGGAATGACGGGGCCTCTCAGTCAAAAAATCAAAAATCATAACTCTGCTTTACTTTACCAAGCTTTCGCTTCTAATGTGAAGCTTCTTCAGGGCCTATAATTTATTGAGTTGTGGTTTTTTTTGCCAATGAATGAATTGAACATATAAGTCGACGAAAAAAAGTTAAACATCAATGGATTTTTTTGGTTTGACAAATGTTATACCTTCATATAAATGTCATTTTTCAGTGGGCATGATAATTTGATAATCTTTGACTCTGAAGGGAAAGTTGATACAATTTTCATTATTATCATTATGATTTTTGGTGTAGTTCCAGTAAGTTACTGTATATATTGCTGATATTAGCAATGTCAGTTCTCTTATTCATACAATTAAAATCACTTTTATGTGAAGTTATTCTATCTTTGAGAATTCTAGATGTTGTTCCAATATAATCCAAATTNTCATTAACCAGGTCTCGGTCCCTTCCGAACGACAAAAAGCAGGAATCGAAACTTATGTGAGTTGAGGATCACATTGCAAGGTATCTGTAATTGGCTGAGTGAAATGTGTTTTCAATATGTGATCTATTTGGTACCAGGAGTGTTTGAATTTTTAAACTACCAATCTTCTATTCATCTAGTGTTGAGTTCTGTTCAGTAAAAGTATTTCAAGGGATCATAACATCCTTTGATATGAAGCAACTACATTTTGTTAGTCATATAAGAAGTGATGACATCGCGATCTTCTCATGCCAGAATAGTTATAAACAAAGCATCAAATCTTCACTTACCACAAAAGCAAATGATATGAAGAAATTCAAATATTTTCTTTCAATCTCATGTGTGTCATTAACTCCACAAATGAAGTAAAATAATAGGTAAAGGACTGTGATGGATATACTGTGGAATATTATGTTACCAATATTAACCTGACGAACGACTGCATTGATCATTCTGTAACAATTAGCTGTGAAAATCATTTGCTTCTCATTCATATTGTTTTTCTCCACATGATAATATAGCATTTTATCCAGGTAATTCAATTTGTTTTTCAACCAAGTCGTCAGGATCACGTAATATGAATTGAACAAGATGATATAAAGTGTAGTTACCAGCACATTGAAGACAAGTATGATATCCCAAAACTCATGAAGAGGAAATAAAACTTCATGAAAAAAACAACTGCTGCCAAGGAGTACATTGATCCAAGTTTGAAGTAAGGCAAGCAATGTTCATTAGCTACATCGATGTGGTACTTAGTTACAGTTTTCTCCAGCAAGAAAATTTGTTGAAATAGCTTTCTCCAAGAAGTGTTTTTCCGAAAGGTCAGTGTAAACATGCTATTGATCAGGAACAAAAATTCAGCAACAGCTATTGTAAATGAGAATCCCGCTGTAACTTTTGGTCGATTTGCATTAACAAATAATTTGTGTTTAGTTACAAAGTAGATATGAACGATGTATAAACAGAGTAGAATACAAGTTATGATTCGAGATGAGACTGGTTTCACCTTTCGATCTTTGTATGTGAAAGGTGTGGTTCCAAAATATTTTCCCAACTTGAATATGAATCTAAGGCTTTAAAAATTCATTTAAAATGAACGAAAATAGAAATCTCTAAGTGAAAATGTAGCTTTGACAGCTGGCTGCTCGCAGTTTTTCGTCATATTATATATCAGCGATATTAGCGACGATCAACAGTTGAAAAAATACCGATGGAATCACGAAGTGGTGAAAATTACAGGTCTTTCGAGCAAACATTGAACCGTTTAGAATGGTTCGTGTCAAGCCATATATAATAGAATGGAACATTCGTAACAACGAAGATTATGGAACAAAAATGAATCGGAGTTTTTGATTGAGTGTGTTCAAGTAACTTGAAAGCTCTAATTTGAAATATAGGGTTCATCATTATCAAAGCATCAAAAACCCGAAGTCAAATTGTAATTGAAGTTTCAGCTGTGCAACTGCCTGGATAGATATTCTTGATAACATTTCAATACTACCAACTACGATGGAATTACTGCGTCAATATTACTTGATTGAACTCGTAAATAGGCATTAAACACTATGAAATATCTACTTCTCCTATCCATATTGCATTACAGATTGAGTAACGTTTCTATAACTTTTTTCAAATCTTACCTGTCAAGAAAGCCTCAATTTGAAAGTATTAGTTTGAGGCGAACCACAAGAGTCACGTCTTGGCCCCATTCTCTATTTAATTTGTACTGCCCAGTTGACCATTAGCTTTGTCGAACTGAATTATCACGTGTACGGTGACGATGCCTAATAAATAGTTTTCATAGCCGGAGTGAATTCTGAAGGGACTAAATCTGGGTTATTAGGCAGTGGTCGAATGGAACTTGAAGTACCAAACATTTTATCCACTACTGTGGCAAATATCATCAGTGGTATGTGCGCTGACTTCGAGGACGAAAGCAGTCTTGGCAATGATTGAGACTTCAAACAGTGTCAACATTGTTTGAAGAGGTTTCCTTTACAAAATGGCTATTTTGCGATTGATTCCGAGAAAATTGTAACCAAGTACGTGATTTTTCGTTGAATTGTATTTGGGCAGACGAAGCTCATGTGAGCAGTGCCGGAATTTCCAACCGCTACAATTCTTATACTTGGGCACAACAAAACCCTCACCATATTGTGGAGCAGAGGAGTCAAGGAAAATTTGGATTTAGTGTGAGGGCTGGTGTTAGGGGTAGAATCATCGCGGCCCTTTCATTTATAATGACACTTCCATATCTCATAAGTATTTATAAATTTAAAGGCAAAATATTGAACCCCTTGTTGATAAATTCCCACTAATGGAGCTCAGAAAAATTAATTTCCAACAAGACGAGTTTTCGCCTCACAACACTGCAATTGTCACCAATTTTTTGGCGGCAAATTTTGGTAATAATTGGATAGTTAAACAAAGACCTAACAGTTGGCCGGCCAGGTCACCGGATCTAACGCCTATGGACTTTTACTACTGGAAAAGGTTGAAAAATCTCAATTTCAAATTCTAGATACGAATTGGAAGCTGCAGTGATCAAAGTTTTGCTTTTCTCACCCCTATTGAACCAATTCATTCGGCAAAAACGTTCAGAAAAGTTGTCGCCTGTATGTAGGAGACGCTGGTATATTTGGAACACCTTTTTCGAAGGAATATATTTATCATTATTATTATTGTTTATATAGTATGAATTGAAACTTTCATTGAAACTATGCGTTTTTGTTACTGCTATGAAAAGTTTTCTCAACATTTGAACAATTTCTTTATCTGTTTTATCGCCGCATCGCCCAAAGCCTACTTGATCAAAGTGTGCGTTTCAAAGTCTACAAGAAAAAACCTGAAACTCTGTATTTCAAAGATTACTTTAGCAAAATATCAAATGTGTTGTATTTTTTAAAAGGTAATTTTGACCTCTATTGAAATATGCAGGAATATACAGGGAGTCCCATTAAAAATAGTTTTCCATCCATAACTATTGATATCTCATTTGAATAAATTATTTTTTAACACCATTGAATTTTACTTAAAAAGTGTTTCAGAAATGTTTTCATAGAAATAAGGAATTTTTGATAGAAAAATGCACATTTTCGAAAAATATGCTGTAACGATGATATATATCGATATGTGGTTTTCATCATTGAGTTTGTCATAAAATTTGATCCTCAGATACAGTCACCAGTTATCATCTATCTCGTTTGAAAAGAGAAGTTTCCTTTCAAAATTGTCCAATTTGGTACACTCTGTACATAGGAACCTCATTGGAAACCGAATCTTCAGAATGTTTCGTTTGAAAAAAGAAAGTTATAACTGGAAGAGAATGTGAATTGAAAACATTTCAAAGGATCAGGTTATTATCAATTACTTCTTTCCTGAAGTTTTAGATTTCATATGTGAAGGGATTGACCAATATCTTGATGAAAATTCATAACGCATTATTGCTGTATTGCTAGATTATCACTGAACAGTTTACATTTCGAATTGGGATTTGTTGAGGAAGTTGAGTAAATTTTGATTCCAAATTGTTCAAAATATTCAAACAAAATTTTCATTATTTGATATATCAGCAAATATCATTATCTACAAAGTTAGGAATTTATGAGATTTTATAATGATAACTAGCTTTTACTCGCGGCTTCGCTCGCAGTTATGCCATTAAATGAGTGTCAGTTCAATAGAAATTAATCAATATGAGAACTATATTTTAAAGCTTGGCTGGGATTATCAATTTTTAAAAATTATTACATTCGATGAAGTTGAATTGCAACAACAAATGTAAAAATATATTTCACTGTAACAAAAATTACCTTACCTAACCTAACCTAACCTAACCTAACCTAAAAATAAAAATGACAGATGAAAATAACAATAAATATAGAAAAATTCCAAACAGCTGAAAGTATAGTCACTTTTTGATAAACAATTGTTTTGTCTTACAAAATTTTTTTTTATAAAAATCCTGTGTTACTTCTAATAACTCCAAAAACATGTGTACAAAATTTCATGATGATCGGTTGAGAAGTTTTCGCGTGAAACCGTAACAAACAAACTTACGTTCGCATTTATAATATTAGTAGGAATAGTAGGTA